AGGTGCAACTAATAAGATGCTTTTCCTTTACTCCTTAATCATGACAGTAGAAGACTGCTGTTTGAGGGGTGGTGGGGAATGGCAGTTCTGAACATCTACAGGAAGTGCAGGGATGCTCCCTCTCGGAGAGGCAAGGCAGCAGCTCTCACTCAGCTCAGAAGTACTATAGCCTTGCAAGAGGCAAGTATTTCTGGATTTTCAAACCGTACAGCGTATCTCCCCGGAGAAGATCAGATGCAGCATGTGAAAGGCCATACATGGGGAAAGCTGATGGCACGCTTCTGCAGGAGGATTATGTTCATGTATTTTGATAAATGAGCTGCAGGTAGATGTAAGAGTGAGATACAGTCAAATCAGGATGCAGATCCTGAGTCTAGAGTGCCAGCACAGTGAGAGCACCCGTCCTGACGATGCCCAGAGCATGAGTGAGGGACTGTGCTCACACCAGAAAGGGTAACAACCTCCTCTGGATGGCCTTGGGGCACCCCTGCAGCCCTGCGCCTTTCAAAGGGAACCTGTTGTTTAAAGTGTGTGTGAGCTCAGAGAAGGCAGTGCTGTGGCACTGAAACTGTTAAAAACAATGAGGTTTCGGTAATACCACAGATGCCAAGGATAACTTCTTCCTGCCAGGTATAAGGTGCATGAAAATTGACTGAGAGTGAACTACGGGTTTCTAGGCATGCTTAACTTGAGTAGCGTAACAACTCCTCACTCTTGCAGAAGTAAAGAATTAAATACTCTTTCCTGTACCTGCTTTTCAGTCTCTATGCGTGGACTCAGGACAGAAGACAAAATGAATCCTCTCAGTAAAGTACAGTTTCTAGGAGTCTTTTACATTCCAAATATTACAAATAATTACAATCAATTCAGACTTAGATCTTTTTTGAACAGGATGTGGCAGGTTGATTCCATGTAACAGTGTGAGAGCTGCAGAGTGAAGTGTTAGAGAAGCAAAACACAGCTTGCAGCCCAGTGTGTAAGACACGGAGGTATGTTAAGACCAGTTGCTACAGTTGCAAAGACAGGCTTTTATACACATAAGTTTCTTAGAGCAAATTTTGTTCCCATTTGTCTATACTTCAACCTACTTCAGCTTTTAGAGCTGAGCAGTTCACAAAACTTACACGCATATTTATATGCATGTAAATATAAATATTACATGCATAGATAAGATAAAAAAACCCAAAATACAAATTCCTGTGCATCTGCCCTGAACAATTTTAAACTGTGTAATTTGCTAAACTTCTCAGATATTACATTGTTTTATGACTTTTATGATTAAGTTCCTTTTTAAAAAAAAAGTGCAAGCAGAGATTTTTTTACTGTTCTAATGTACTGTCTTGAAAAGGTCTTGGGTTACTAATGTCTACTGCTGAAGACCTGATGAATATCCCCAACAGAGGGGAAGGACTGCTGAGACAGGTTGACTTTTACCTCCCATGCATAGAGTATGTGCCTCAGCCCCAGCTGCTTGTAATCGATGAAGGGATTTTTTCTTAGATGACTGAAGGCCATATGATAGTCAGAGAGTGCTTCTTCATACCTGCAATGCAGAGATGACAGAAGAAATTGAGACTGAATAAAGCTGAAAATTCTAATTGAGAAGTTCAAAAATCAAGCTAGCAAAACCCATTTGTTCTTCTCTGGAGCCTGAGAACTGCACCAGATGTGTGTCACCTTGTGACCACAGAAAATTCCCTGTCATCTCCTTGTTGGGAGTTAGTGCAAAATTAACATGGCGTGTCTGGAATTATCTGCACAGTTTTACTGATCGGGATGAACAGTAGGTTTTGATACCTGAAATAGTTGCAATTGCAAGCAGGAGAAAAGTGTAATAAGCAAAGATTAACAAATGCTGTGAGCTCCTTGCCCAGCTTGCTGCTTTGTCCCAGCAGATATCTCAGGGGAGAGGCGAGGGCTGGGAAACCCCTGCTGATGGTGAGCAGCGAGTGTACGTGGCTGGCCAGAGCAATGCATACAGAAATTCAGAGGAACTCTAAGGATAAGGAGGGAATTAGTCTCAATTTACACCAGCTGTGCAACTGAAATCAAAACAGATTCCCACCGAGGCTGCAGGTGGTGAAAGGAAGGGTCCAGGAAGGGCTGTGCAGCTGTCACCCCACCAGGAGCCAGAAAGAGAAGGTGCTCAGGGGGGTGTGAGCAGCATCTGGTGACAGAAGGCACCGTGGGGTGCTGGTGGCTGTCACCTCCTCGAGCAGGAGGCAGGTCCACCAGCTGTGCTGCCCCTGACCTGCTGCCCAGTGTGTGTGCTTGGTGCCGGCTTGCTCCGCTTCTGCCGGCTGTGACGCAGCGCTGGGAGCGGAGCAGCTCCTGCGCGCCAGCCGGGGCTCCACCACCCCTGGCCAAAGCTCTGCAGGCAGAGGCACAGAGCATGTAGCTGCTCGATGGGCTGGCTGTGGCTGCAGAACGCCCTCCCAGAAATAAGGATAGTAATTTCGTGGAAATTAAGGTCTGGAAAATACAGAGAAAAAAACAGGAAAGAGAATAACTAAACTTCGAAGGTAACAAGGGATCTGTAAAACCCTCCACCTACCTCTCTGAGCAGGATGTCACTGTGAATTAACCGTGGAAACAATGAGTAATCAATCTCATGACACTAGTGGAGCAATCCTGACATTCAATCAGTGAGACTGAGATCAGGCCCACAAAATCCGCTGCAGCAGAGAGTAAGAGTCAGACACTGTGGGCAGACTGCTTTTTTAGGAAGGCCAGACTCACGTGTACTACATGAAGATACACCAAGCAGCGCAATTATAGTTTTCTTCATTCCCAAAGAAAATCTGAATGGCAATGTAACCTCCTGGAAGTCTCGCATACAGGAGCAGCTTCTTGCTCTCTGTGTGCAGGATGGTGACACCATGTGTTAGCCACCCTTGGGGCCCTGAAGTTGTGCTGCTCATATCTTAGCATTATCAGAGCTAAGACTTGCTGATCTGTGACACGGTTTACAATACCAAACTGGACCTTATGAACTGTTTAAGATTTCTGGAAGAAGTGAATTTTAGAGTCATAGAATCATTTAGGTTTAGGAATAAAGTATGACTAAAAGGAGTAAACCAAAGACTGAAATGGACATGTGCCTCACTTACATTTCCAGCTGCAGATGGACAAACCCTCTCTGAAAGAAGCCGACAGCTAGGGAGTTGTCCTTTGCAATGGTTTTATCGAATGCCTAAGGAGAAAAACAGACACATCCCAAGGATCAGTTAGGATCTCTCCTGTCGATGCCTGGGTAACGCGCCCATACATCCACGTCCAAGCTGCACTTGCACTGGGTGCAGAAGCCATCCCCGGGCTTGTGACCAGCTCCTCTGGACTGACGAGCGCAGGGCTGCGATCCGGGCTGAGGGGCACAAGACAGCTCCAAATCACCTTTCAGGTCTTGGCTCTGTATGAGCTGAACTTCACGTTTTTATCCTTCCTTGGTAAAATGGACTGGACATAAATGAACTATGTTGGCCATCTGGCATCTTGTAATGGGAAATCTGTGTTGCCTGGAGCAGTTTGCCCTGACAGTGGGAGCTGCAGGACTAGCCAGGCAGTGATGAGTATGTGAAAGGTTGCAAGGGAGAAAGCTAAAGGAATTCACACAATGCACCTATAAATCAATATTTCTGCTCCAGTTTCACAGCTAAATACAGGCAAGTATTAGCAAAGCTGGTAGCAGCTCATGGTTGATAGTTCAAAGTAATACTGTGCTGAGAAAACTGTCTTAATGTCTTTCTGAGAAAGCTAGGAGGTGTGATCCTTCCCTGACCGGTGCAAAGAGATGGTATGTAGGTAACAAATCAAGCCTGAAACCCCAGACCTTCCTGATACTGCCCAGACAAGGATAGCATTGGGGGGGTGAAAATACATTGCAGGAGGTCAGAGTGTGACTGCAGTTCTCTTGAGATGGTGGCTGGCTTTGCCTGTGACTCCGACAGCACACTGCTTTAACAGTCTGCTTTACCGTGCTGTAAAAGAGTAAAAAAATAAACAACCAACCGTTGACCTATGCGGAAGCATAGCCAAGCTTTTTCCCAGTCAGTGCCCATTCATCAGGGCTAAAAAGGTCTCTCTTGGGCACTACCGTGCTGTGCTCGCTGTTGCCCCTCACAGCACCTGCCCTGCGGGGCGGCCACGGCTCTGCCCACCCCCCGCACACCCTCAGCTTCAATTTGTGCAATTTAACAAACGGCTTCGATGCCTCCCCTCCCCGGGCAGGTGGCGGCCAGCCAGCCAGGCGTGAAGACATGCTAGGTGCTGTAATAAAAAGGCTTTTCCTCAGGACCTCTGCCCGCCTGCACCAGCGCGGGCAGCCGCTCGTTTTCCAGCACGGCGATTTCTTTTTGGCAGCCTCGAGCACCCGGGGGGGGGGGGGGGGGGCTGGCCGGGGCGCAGGTGCCCAGCACCACTCGCATTCGCCCCGCTTGCCGAACGCGCAGGATGATCCTCAGTTCGAGTTTCGGCACCGATTCCCTCAATCCCCGCCACGGGCCGGTCGCGCCCCCCGTTCCAGCGCGGCCCCCGCCCCGTCCCTCCGCGGGGGTTCCCCCGCGCGGCGAAGCCCCCGCTCACCCGCAGGGCCTCCCCCGGCCTCCCCGCCAGCAGCTCCGCGCAGCCCATGTTGAAGCAGATCCTGGCCGGCGGCTCCGGGATGCCGGCGAAGATCTCCAGGGCGCCGTCCCAGTCCCCGCCGTCGGCCGCCAGCACGCCTTCGTGCCAGCGCCGCACCAGCTCCCGGTACGCCATGGCCGCGGCTCCCCGGGCTCTGCCGGGCGGGGAGCGGCCCCTGGGCGGGGAGCGGGTGGACGAGGAAGCCCGGGCGGGGCAGCCCAGCCGTGTCAGGAGGGGGCAGAGCCCCGGGGGGCAGCCGGCTGGCCCGGCCCGTCGGGGGGGACGGAGGGGAGCGCAGGGGAGGGAGCTGCGGGGGCGCCGGCTCGCTTGGGGCGACTGCAAAGCCTCCAGGAGAAACCCCACAGTGCCAGCGCAGCCCATAACGCGGGTTCCGCGGGCGCGTTAATTAAACATGCTCACGGCCGAAGAGCGGTGCGCGTTAACTACAGTACATACGGTAGGTATGCGGGCGCCGCCGCGCTCCGGTAGGTACGGTAAGTCGGGGGGCTCGGCGCGTTGCCGCGGGCGACACCGCCCCCTGCAGGCGCTGTGCACCGGTGCCCTCCGCAAAGGGGGTCGATGGGGGCGCGGGGCTGTACACGGCAGGTTCCGTGGGTGGGGAGGGGAGGTGGGGCGGGGGGGGGTTCGCCGCACGGGGCGGAGGAGCGGGCGCGACGGGGAGGGTTTTGGGCAGCGGACTGCGGCGTTTCCCGTTTTCCCGCGGGCCGGTGCCGGGGGAGCGGCCGCAGCCGCGGTGCTGCCCGGCCCGGTTCCGGCTCTGCGCGCCGCTCCAGGGCGGGGAGGGGCCCGGCCCGGCCCGGCCCGGCCCTGCGCGGAGGAGCCCGGCGCGGCGCAGCGGCCTCCGAGCCTCGGCAGGTGGAGAGGAGCGGCGGGCGGGGCGGGCGGGGGGCGGCGGGGCCGCTCCGGGTGTACGGCCTGCTCCGGGTGTACGGCCTTCGCAGCCCGAATAAAGCCATGGCGTGTCTCGGCCTCCCTGGGTGGCGGCGGGGGGGGGGACTGAGGGCGGCAGCGGAGCCCGGGGAAGGAGTGATAAACCGTGTGTGGGGGGCAGAGACGGACAGCGAGTGCAAACTGCGAGTTCATAATTATAAATAATTATATGCTTTACAGTCTGCGTAGCTACGGTGCATAATTACATCGTTTTACGGATAATTGGAGTGAATTACTTACAGAAGTTTTCGATGGAAGCCAAGTGAATCTGTGGCAGTCCCGTTATATGCAATGGTAGAAGTGTTCTGTTTTCAAGCAGTTTAAAAGAAATTGGTTGAGGTCCTTGTCACTGATCGTCGAATGTTTTGGAAAAAGGGGAAGAGCGTCAGTGGGATTGGAAGCACCATGAATCTTGTGCGCACATGTGGAAAGATTAAATGTCTTTCAGAAAACAAAAAAAAAGCGAGTTTGTTAACCTGATGTCAGTAGGAGGAATAAAATCAAGTGAGCAGGTGAAACTTTGTAAATAATTAGATACTACAAGTACAGTGAATGTAGAGATTAAAGGCCAAACAACATACGCCTGAAAAAGAGATTCCCTTCCTTCTTCTGGTGTTTCTTCCTGAGAGGGGGTTTCAAGATCTGATTAAGTCAGTTGATGTTATGGTTAGAATCACGTAGTTGAAATTCTCTGAGGAATTTGACTCTAGTGTGACCTGACAATTTAACTAAACAAAGGTGGTGGTGTAAGGCAGCAAGGCAAAACTTAAGGATGAGCTTAGGAACAAGTCCTGTATCTTGATTGTTAATTGGAAGAAATAAACGAGTGGGCTATTTCCAGTTAGCTCTTCCACTTACCAGTTCTTTATTCAAATGTTAGTACTGACTTAAATTGTCCAGAGGAAGGTTTATAGCCTTTTCTGTTAATGTTTGCTGATGACAGATAGGTGAGATGATCAGTGACAAGGTGTTACTGCTGTAACATAGACTGACTTTCCTGGTTCCAAGTGGGCGAAGGATCTCCATATAATGAAAGAGACTGCATAAAGTCTGGAAACCATGATAACTTCCTACAACAAACACAGGTGGCAGACACTGACTTGCAGGATTTAGTTGCATCAGTGATGCAATTTGAACTTCACTGTTGGGGGAACAGTTGCTTTGTTGGTATTTTTTTTTTTTCTTATTCTGAAGACAAGTTGGAATGATCATGTGTGGGGACATGGTTTTGTTAGAATGGGCTACTAGAACATAATCAGTTACAGTAGCTCTCAAGTAAGATATGAAAATACTGGAGTTCGGACGTGGCCACAAAAATGCTCGGGTACTGGAAAACAAGCCGTGCAGTGGATTTAATGAAGTCAGTTTATTCAGGCACATCCAAGAGATAACGAAGTAACTCAGCCACTCTGTGGAAATCCATGCCTATGGGAAAGTTATCTGATAGCTGAATATTTTCAGTCTTTTTGACAAAGTCATAATGAGATCCGGTAACTGAAAGTCAAAGCTACACAAATTCTTTTAAATATGACACAATTTCCTAGCAGTGATGGAAGTTAATTACAGGAATAGTTTATGGGAGATCTTAAAGGCTTGACATTATTTGAAGCTCTTAAGCTGAAACAATAACAATTTTGAAGATGGAGTTAAGCCTGAAGTCTTGGGCAACTTGCTGGTGCAAGGATGCCTGTGTGGTTTGGGTGAAATCCATGATATTATCAGTGAGTCACCTTCTGGGACTCTAATCTTAGGCTGCTTGACTGCAGAAATAGCAGGATTTTTTTTTTTTTTTTTTAATGTTTCCTAAAGGGCTGTAGTTCTAAATGAAGACAGATTTAAGCAACCGTATGCTTTTGGATGAACCTCTGCTTCAAGGGGGAATTTCACATGCTGTTCTTACAGAGGAAAGTTAGATAAAGGTAGTGTGTTTCTTCCTCCACTGTTTAAATCATCATGAGTTTGGCCACAGAGAGCAGACACTGAGTTGGTCAAATGGATGTGCTATACTAGTTCAGAGAATCCCCCCCTCATTTACTGTGCCTTCCCCGTGTGCTTGCAGTCTGATCCGGATTTGAGGTCAGGAAGGGATTTCCAGCCAAGTCAGACCGTTAAGGCATCATACGAGTTTTTCACCCTCAGCAAGAGCATAGTTTTCATGCTGGGACTTTCCGCTGTCTCTATTTTTATCTCATCAGGTTGTTGTAAAGGGATTTTGGGACCTATCTGTCTCAATGTATTGTTTCAATAGTATGACAATGCTTTTAACGTAGTAAGTTTTAGAAAATTATGACTTCATAATATAAATAAATAAGTCTCTCTATGCTTCCGTGAATAGAGAAACCCTGTCTCTTATGTAGCACTGTGCATTTTGGTTGTGCTCTGAGGGCTTGCTACCTCACTGGTTTTATAAGGGAACAGGTACCTGCCCATGGCTGTGTCAGCTTTTTGGCACAAGTGTCACTGATAGCCGTGACTTCTGGTTCCATCTTTTTTCTCATGTATGTGCAAGCAATAGAACAGGAATAATCAGATTTTAGCACGTGGAGTAGAATCAGAAAAATGCATATTTGGGAATCTAAATGATCCATTAGAAAACATCTCTTAGGAGTTTTCAAGACAGTAATGCTGTCTGTTAGAAATCATAGCACTTGCCTGCACAAAGTTTTGTTGGTGCTACAGTTTAGCAGTTGCAGCAAATTTTTCTCAGCTGTCTTTGTTGGGCGATTTGAACATGCTACTCATATGAAACTGCACTAGACAAATGTGCAGTGTACAGGACACGCACAGAAGTTCAGATGGACTAAACTGCAACACTTCAAATTGTTCCTTTTCCAGTGACACAAAGCAGCACTGGTCCTTAATGTAAGCCCTGGCAAGCGGGAATTGGCAAAGCTGAAATGAGTGTAATTTCTGTGGTGCTCCAAAGGCAGCTTGGAGAGAGGTAGGAAGCAGAGGCGAGTGGTCCCTGTAAACACGCTCAGTGTTTTCAGTTCTCTCTTCAATTCTGTAAGGAAGCTTTGTGATGTTATAGTGTAAATCTTAATGCAGTGGTAGAGACATCTGTTCGCAGTGGTAAGAACAGTAAGAGGAGCTGGTCTATGCAGTTATACTCTGACAACCAAAGCAGTTGCTCCTGTTAATAAATAATTTTACCCAAACTTGTCTTAAATAACTTGCTGATGCATGAAGTGATATAACCCGAGAGGGGATGGGATGAGGGGGGCACAGGCCACCCCTGGTCAAACTAAGAAACAGTTTGACAGGATGTTGTATTGGAAAGTTAAGAGTCTTCTCCCGAACTGAGTTTTAATAATTTGATTCAAAAGCTAATTACTGAGCTTGTGTTGTATGTCAGTGCCTTTAAAATAGAATTTATTTTTTTTTGTTGTGTAACCTCTGAGGATGCTCAGTGCTGTGACAGCTTCTTCAAGCAGCTCGTCTTTGTAATCACATGTATTGGAGAGAGGGATGGCCATAGAGAAACTGAGTAGTGTGTGAAAGGAATAAAATTACATTAACAGGAATAGGAGGTACACTAAGTGCTGAACATCTTGCTGTTTCATGTTTTCTTCTTTTAACGGAATTAATGTGTAATAAACTCATATAGTGTGGGAAGAGCTATGGTAGATGTCAGTGATAAAAGTCTGAAAAATTATTGTGGGAAAAATGAAAGAGGGGAGTGTGTGTGCTTGGGATAAAGGAGGTCTGAAGAGAAACTCCAGTTAGATTTCTATCTCAAGAGAAGTCTAGAAATCTGTTTTCCCAGAGGATAGAAGTCTTGCTTCTTTTGCGAATTCTTGTGAAGGTTTGGTATTGCAACATGACCAAATGGCGTTAACTTGGGCCTGGAAGATGAGAGTCTTGTCCGGCTGTTTGAGATCAGTAGAATGCCCATTTTCCAGCTGTGCTAACTACCTGCTGGATGATTTGAGGCAAATAATGCCTTGTGATCTGCAGATAAAAATCAAGCAAGAAAACCCTCCTTACATAATTAAGAACTTCTTTTGTCTCAGCTTTGCCGCTCACTTGGAATGGTGATCTGGGCACAATCCTTGGTGCTGGCTCTGGGTAGAAACAGACCTGTTAGAGGATTGAGGCAATTGCTATTGTCAAAGGTATTTCTACAGAAGAAAAAAAATTTCATCTGTTGCTAATTCTTACGGAACAATCCTCTCTGCAGTGTCTTCTGCAAGAAATAGGTGGGCCAGTGAAGCTAAAGAAAGACTAAGCGTTTTGGAATCTGATCAGACCAGAAGCAGCTAAAAACCCTTCAACTTCTGTCTGATTACCTGTAAGACAGGAGAGTCCCATTCCTTCTCTGACCAATACAACTCACTGGCACAAAGTTGTGTTTCCTGTACTTAAAGTTGCAACACTGTGGATCTTCAAGGAGAAGGAAATTGCTAATGAAGAAAAAGCAGATATAAATAATGGAAGAATTAAGCAAAGAAACTTCTAATTTATGTTGTACAAACATTTGAACAGCAATGGTACTAGAACCAATTTTGAAACTAATATATGAGGTGTGCTTAACATTGGCATCCTGATACAGAGCTGGGAGCTGCTGTTCCTACAGGCCTTACCTGCCACCGTTAGCGAGGGTAGCGACCAAAATAAAAAATGGAGTCAAAGCCACTTTTTAATGTCATGCTATAGAAGCCAGATTCTCTGCTTAGTGATTCAATATGAACCACTACTGAGTCTGTTTGTGAAAGCATAGCTGCAGATTTGTATAGCTGAGTACAGGTGAGATCTGACTCCTGTACATTTACTAAGTGCCTGTTGCTACGCTTAGCATTACTGTGATTCATGTTACACGTTACCAAGCCAGAGCAGAAGAGCCTCTAGCTCTATGTGTATTTCATGCATTTAAATACATTTAAATAAATTCCTCTTTATTACATCTCTGGCTCTGCCAAGGATATGGTCACACTTCATGCTAAGTCTGAATGTGTGGCTGCTGTCATTTTAGGCTGTTCTTTTCTGATGAAAACAATGCTGTTGTTTTTTCACTTTATGACTAGCTATACCCACACAACATGATTTATTCTTGGCTGTTGCTCATCTTGCCTTCAAAAAGCAGAATACCTAAATTACCCTTATAGCTATGCACATAACTGCAGTTCAGTTACTAATTTCAGAGGGGTTTTGCTCTTACATTTTTCCACATTTTTTCAGAGGGCTTTTGCTCTTACATTTTTGCACATTTTTTGTTGTGTGCTGAAACTTTGTGCTGTGTGGTTCAAAAGGCACTCTATGATCATTTTTGTTTTTCACACAAATTCATTGAGCCTTGTTTGGGTTACATGCTCATGAAAGAAAAGTCTTTTTCAAAACATCCAGGACACTGTCTATCCACTGCTGAACCTTTTAATGTCAAACTCTGCCTGAACCTCCTCAAGGAATGAGCTGTCACGTTAGGAAAAAAGTTGGCTGGAACATAACAGTGCTGTGAGGAATGTTTGAGAATGTGAGAGAGAGCACAGGAGGAACTTTGCACTGCTTGGGACATACTTGCTGTATAAAACTGCTCCATGTGTGTTTTCTTAGGTTATACAATTGCCTTTAAATTTTTGGAAAATATTCCGTGGGGATTAAAATCTCCCAGTTACAAACTAGAGGGCAATGGGTTTGGCTTTTTGAGAAGGGGAGTGTAATTTTTCTTTACAGGGTATATAGCTGCTGTTTCAGACTGTGCCAAGCAGGTTTTTATTAGCCATGTAGTTGAAAGCATTATTGTTTGGTTTTTGTTTTGTAAGCAGTGGTTGCCACTGGGTCATTCAGATGGATGAGAGTGGAGGTTTCCTGATGACGTTGTGTTTGTTCAAGTGGATAACCTGTGTGGATTAGGACAGTGGTTCTCTGAATGTTTTATGACATTGTAATGGTGTTCTTGTTAGCCACATGATCTTAACATTACAGTAAAGATGTTTAGCAAGAAGTAAAAATGTTGGCAGGCATGCAAGACTCTGGTTCAGAAAAACATTTGATGCCTACAAATCTCTGTCTTTCCAATGTAGCATTTAACAAGGTGCTTAAGTTAGGATCGGTGGAGCTTAGGTGTGTTGGTAAGTGTACAAAAAGCTCTGCACATTAACAGCCCTGTTTGCTTCCTTGCAGCTCTGTGTCGGCAGTGGAATCTCCCAGACGTCAGTCAGCAGATAACACCTTCACCATCCTCCTTCGGGGGTGAGTTTGCAGTGTCTCTGGACCCCAGTCAGTTCAAAAGCATGTGACAATATGGGGGCTAACTCCACATTTGGCAGGTGGGGGCAGTACTGCTTAAGGAATTTCTGCCTCTTTCAAGTCTTTGTCTTGCCTGAGTTTAGAAAATGATCATTTTCAACTTTGATTACTTTGTCCATTTCTTTTGCCTTATGCTCATAGCTTGGCTGTTTGGGGGACAACTGAGTGGGGTCCTTGGTGCAGGACAGGGTGGGAGGGAGGGGGCAGCAATTGCACAAGCTGCTATGACTGTTCTGATCCCACACTGAGAAGCTGTGCACCCATTGCATATTTAAGGGGAGATCTTTAAGTTGAATAGTTCTACTCTGACAATTTGACATCGAAATTATTACAATTAATGTATGTTCTGAGGATCAGTATCAGCTTTTCTGTGTGGAGTTTGTTTCTGAAAGTAATACAAGCATCTTTTGTTTGCAGGATGTTTTATTAGTTTATGAGGTAGGTGAAAGGTCACTTGAAACTAAACCAAGTACCTGTTGTATAAACTTGTAGCAAATACTGTTTCATCACTGTAGTTTGTGTGACCGCTCTTAGATGAAGACATTCTTTTAAATAATATTTTATGGTGCAGAAGTGTATTAGGGAATAGATTTATGAGAATTCCATTTTGATTTGTGAACTTCATTTATGATATTCACTTATTTTTGTAAAGATTGATTTAACTACAACCTATGTTGAAAAGTTACCCAGAACCTCCTTATAGATAAAGTAGAATGTGTAGAACTCAGTTTATCTTAAAAAGTTGTATTGGGTTAACTCTCTGGGACCTCATCCGACTCAGTAGCCTTTCTTCTCTCAGAATGGGAGACTGTGATTTTCCCTATCTTTCTCTTTAGTACTTCTGCCTACTGAGGTGTTTACCAATGAGGGCTTGTGTAATACAAGGAAATACAATGTCTGTGCAGGAGCAGTCACCAGTTAGTGTATATCATCTGTTTTCCCCTTTTGTTCAAATGGAAACAAAGCTTTGTGTGTAATGAGAAATTTCTGGAAACTCTCATTTTGTGTTTTTCTAGTTTCCCTTGTATGTGTTCTGAAATGTAGCTGCAGCTTCGTTAGAGGGCACTCTTGAATAACGCATGGTGGGACTGCTGACAGCATTCACCGCATACTCTTCCGAGAAAAATCCTGATGCAAATGAAATTTACCACCCTAGAGTAGAAAGTGAGAGGTCTGAGATGGATTACCTTGTGTACTTCGCTGTCTTATGATAAAAGGCAAGATCGACTACATTGAGGGCTGATTTAATGCTTGTGCTGTGTATGGAACATAGCAACAATCTATTAGATAATTCACTATAGTGTTCCAAATGTGGATTAATTAATTTATAAAACTTGCTTTTCTCATGGCCTTTACCCTATAAACTGCCTTGATCCTAAATGTATATCCATTTTGGAACTTTTCTTGGTACTGTTGCTATCATCTTAAAAAAAATCCTTTAGAAGCAGTACATTGCTTCAGAAACTCCTGGGTTTTAGTTCCAGACCTTACATCAGTTCCTTCTGTGCCTTTGACAGTTTATCATGTGTTCTTTCACTTTTCTTCTGTTATAAAGATAATTATTTTTACCTTGGGAGAATTAATCAATGTATATAAATGGGCTTTGAAATCTAAAGTGGTTTAAAATTAAAAATATAATTAAAACATTGAACAAAGCAGGAGTCAGGGAAGACCAATTTAAGACCATGATTATTGCTTAACAGCTTTGGTGTTGCTTCTGTTCTGGCAAGATTATAGAGCCAGATCATTTGCATTACATTTGACTTTTCTTGATGTTTTTAGTTTTTGTCCAAGGAAAAGCATTCTTTATATGCAGGAGTCAGATTGTCTGTAAACATAAACATAATCTTAACTTTGGCCAAAACATACCTTGGTTTGCTTTTAGAAAAGCATACCAAACCAGTGTAACTTGAAAGGTTTTTCTGAGCAATTAGCACTGAATCATACCTACACTGGATAGGCTTGGCAAAACTGAAGTGCAAGTTTCCTATGCTGGAACCATGCCTACATAGTATAAACCTCAGCTTTAATATATTGCTTTACTTAGACTCTGAATTCTTACTTCGGAGTTAGCATTGCTGCTAGTAGCTGGGTTCTACGTAGGCTACTTGGTGGTGGTGCTCGTGTGCCTCTCCCAAAGATGAGAGAAGAGGCATTATGTGGGGATGTGATTTGAATAAGGTCACAGAATAGGGCAGTAACAGCTATGAACAGAAACCAGTTGTCTGGCTGACTGACCCATATCCTTACTGGGATGTATTCCTTCCAGCTGGGACTGGCACATCTTTCTTACCAGGGGTTTTAGCTTTACTCAGAGGTGACAGCTTTACTGTCTGTGGGTTGAAGATAGTAGACATTGACAACTTGAGAGTGTACCAAAGCAGATTCTGTGCTACAGCCAAAATAATACTTTGCTTGGTATCCTAAAGAACTAGGTAGTGCTTCTATGAACTCTAATGGCCATGAGATTCCACTTCTACAAAATTAAAGCAGAATAATAATAGAAAGTACTTGTCAGGCCATCTTTTTCCTCTCCTAGTTTTTAATGTCTTGCACCTTCCCTTTCTGTCTTACTGGTATGGCTCCTTGTTAGCTTTTGGGCAAAGAGTGGTTGCCTGGAGTAAGGAAGGAAGGCTGAGATGTTCCTTCTCAGGAATCCTTCACGTCTGCCCCAAGGGGATGTGAGGAGGCAGCAGAAGCTGAGCTGAGCCATGGTACTGTGTGGGTGACTGCAGAGATAGGGAAAGAAGCACTATGGAGAGACTCCTGCAGACTGTAAGGCAGTTGATTGGGACAACGTGAGCAGCTCTTACGGTAAGGTCTTGACTAGGCAGCCTTGCAAGACAGCTGTTGGGCTAAGTGCAGGCATTTAGCTAAACTTGCGAGCATCCCATCTCCCACCACCTCTCGTGGGAGGGTGGCAACAGCAGCTTCTCTGGGGCAAAGGCAATGGCTCAGCCCAGACCTGACCCTCGGCTGTTGTGTGGCCTCCTGGACTGTTTCACTGAGTTGGGAGGAGGGCAGCAGGCAAGGTGCCTGCATGGTCAAACTATCAGGAATGTCATCTGGGTGACCCTATCAGCTGTAGTCTCTGAGGAAACTTAGTGCCTGACTGGCAGATGGAATTTAAGGTGAAATGGAATAAGTAAGGGCTTCCCTGATAGAAAAAAAAAAAAAAAAAACAAAACAGTTACCAAGCCTAAAGCATTTTACTCCGTGGGGCCGGGGACTGCATTTTTAATGGATTTGAAAAGCTCAGCTCTTGTGATTTCTGTAAATGACATTAGAAATGACATTTTAAATGACACAGGCTTTAGCCAAAATATTCACCCCCTCAGTGTTATACTCCATCCCATATGTAGATGCCCTGTCATGTGTTTTACCACACATATTGTTTGGATGTTCTAAAAAAAATAATAGTAATCGAGCAGCCAGTGACATCTACAGAACGTGCTGAAGAGGAGCTCCAGTGTTCTCGTATGAAATACTTTCTTCCAGTGTTGAGTAGCATCTCCTACAAATATTTCCTCACACAACATTTCTGTGGAACTGAAAGTTTATTTTTATGATGATTTATGTTTTCGTCTGTCATTCTTTGAAGACTAGTTGGAGTTGTGTGGTGACATGTTTGCATGGGTTAGTCAATGCCATCTTCATGGCATGATGTATTAAATGTAAATAGTAGACGCTAGTGTCATCTTTGTTTTACCTCTGAAATCAGTTCCAGGTACTGTCTGATTTTTATTTAAAAAGATGGCTGCAGTTCTTGGTCCCAACTATATTTACAATCAGTGTTGTACTTAAAATGTTCTGCCAAGTCCTCCTTTTTTTTTTCACTGTGCATCAGCAGTGGCTTGTCTTTTGGGGATCTGGAGACCAAATGCACGTTTGTGGGCAGTATTTTGAGGATGGTGTGACTGTAGTTTCTTGAGCACCCGTTGGCCTATTTCTAGGCTGACATTCTGATATGGCAGGTTATTGTGTTGATCTTGGAAGACGTTGTGGGACTAGTTGCAGGCTGATAAGGGTAGGTAGCAACAGCTGGAAAGTGTTTCCTGCTTAAATAAGAGTGAAAAAGCCACTACTAATAGAATTGAAGGGAAGAAGTAGAATCTGTGTTTATAAAAATACAGAAGAGGAACATAATGGGATAAAGCATAAATTTAGGCCAGTCTTCTGCCTAATGTAATAATGTAAACGGAGCAAGCAAACTTTCCTCTTTTTTTTTTTTTTCAGTAGAAGCAGTTTAGCTAAGAGCCCAGTGGTGCTGGCTGTCTAAATTGTCATAGTTTTAAGTGCCAAGAAGTAAATATTTTTAAGTAAAGCAAATGCAAAACTTTGGGGATATACATGAAACACAAAAGAAGGAAAAAAGAAAAAAAACTAAAGAAACTCTTTTGTGTACAGCATCCAGAGCAATTTTAAAGTGCTTTTGTTCCATGCCTAAACAAATGGTTGATTCAGCCAAAAAGAAATCTTTCCTATTGATTTATTACACCAATTTAGATATAAGCCCTCTGTGCAGGATTGTCGGTTTAATAGAACAGCTTTCTTTCTCCTTTCAGATTTAATCCACATGTTGTTGTATCAACAGAGCCTTTGTCTCTGCTCAGTTATGAGTTATCCTTTTTTAATAAAAAAAAAAAAGTGAAAACACATGTTTTTTAACAGACCTATTACAAAAAAGTGTAGGATGGCATAGGGTAGAGGTGACCATCAAATAGTGACACTGATTTGTAGGTAACTTCAAAGTGGTGCTGCAAATGAAAGAGTGAAAAATGGCCCTTTCACTTCTCCCCAATGCAATGACTGTGGAAAGCCCAACAGTGACAAGAGGAGGCAGCATTATCTTTAGCCAGGATTTTCTAGATTTTTTTTTTTTTTCCCATCTTGTGCAGTGATGCTAAACATGCTCTTTTTAGTTAACTCTAATTTCCTTCCTT